TCCCTGCCGGGACACGAAGACCGGGCGGGGTGCGCTCTGGCTGGACTCGAGTGGGTTCGGTCCCTGAGCGCGGGCGGCACGCGCTGCCCTCCGCTCCGGCCTCTGCGGGGACGTCCCGGCCTCCGGACGGTCCTCAGCCGCGTGCCTGTGACCCCGTGCGAAGCGCCGGCCGCCAGGCCCGCCCCGCCCCGCCCCGCCCCGGCCCCACCACCGCCCTGCCCCCACCACCGCCGGCACCCAGAGCTCGCGGCCGCCCAGAGCGCGGGCAGCGGCGGCGGACAGGCGGACAGACGGACAGACGGCCGGCGCGGGCGCAGCCGCTGTTGGCGTGTTTGAGACACGGGCCGTAGCGGCTGGGGCCTCCCAGGGATACTGGCCTGTGTGTCCATACTTCCCGGCTCACAGAAGATGCGCCGCCGCCCTTCCCGGGGGAGAGGACGTCCAGCACAGGCCCCGGAATGGCTGCAAGAGCGCGGGACCGGCGGACGGCCGGGAAGGGGCGGAGGCGGTCAGCGCCCGGGGCCGGTGGCCAGCAAGGGCCCGCGCCCCCGCCGCCCTGAGAGTCTCGGTTGTTCTGCCCGGATCAGCTTACTTGCCGCCGCCACCCAGTTACTTCCGAAGCCGGGCAAACGCCTCGCCTTTGCAACTTTTCACTCTCCTCCCTCCTGTCTCCTCTTGACTCAGGACAGCAGGACCGAGAACACAGGGTGATCCGAGGCCGCGGCTTCCAACTTAACGAGGCTTCGGCCAGATCACTGTGTGCAAGGTGAGAGCACTGCTCAGTTATTCAAAACGAACCGAAAGGTCACATACTCGGACAGTGTGTGTTCACTTATTCATGCATTCATTTATTCGTTCAAGAAAGACTGAGAAGCTGTCATTATACATCAGCTACTGGTCCAGGCCCTGAATTTACAAAGATGAAAGAAAGTCCATGTATGACAAACAAGTTCCTGATTGTAGGTTATTTTCAGAGAATTTCTACTGTCCATGAAACAAAGATTTTCACTGGTTTCTCCACACTGACGTGAAGCTTGAGAATGCCCGAGGGGGGCGGGCACCGGCTTGTGATGCCTGGGCCTAGGGCAGCAGTGGCCTTTCCTACCTCCTCTTCCAGAGACACGTTCCAGGTGCCAAGGCTCTCCCACCCTCCCCACCACCCACGATGTCAGCTGCATCAGGTGCACGTCAGGAGGCCACAATGTCTCACAGGAGGGAAGGAGACAGGAAGGTGTGCAAGCTCCACCACCTACTCACTCCCACCAAGCCCATCCCTGCTGGGAAAATGTGCCGGGAAGGTTGACAGGCTGTCCACTGTAGCTGTGCTCTAGTCCTGCTACTGAACATGCCAAAATCCTACAGAGAAGTTAGAATTTTATTACAGGATTATGCACAGGGATTATTTTAAGGGATTTGGACTGTGTGTGTATATATACACACACACACGTAAAGAAATGTCAACTAAGATTTCTCACATGGCAGCTCATCCAAGGTCAGCAAATGAGTAGATCATGTTAATGGCTTGTCAATCCATGAATTTATACCCAGCAGGACTCTAATCAACCATGGACTCAGTACAGAAATTGGTATCTGAGTCTGACAACCAAAAACCTAACCAAAACACAATACAAAGGAGACGGCGCTCCTGTTTGCCAGCTGGGCGGCTGACGCTGGAGCTGTCGCCCCTCCCTCGGCACCCGCAGGAAAAAACAGTGCTGCCTGCCCTGCGGTCCTCCACCCGCCCGCTGATGCTGTGTGGGCGTTGCAGTCTTTCCTCTCTCTGCTTATTCTGCCCATGGGATATCTCCCCAGACTTTCTCTCCCAGCTGCGTCTGCGTCCGTCCTTTGTCATGATGACTGGGAGTGGTCACAGCCTGCCCCAGCAGGCACCCACCACCCTGGCCAAACCCCAGCCCTTTCAGAAGGGGTTCAGGGTTGGGCGTGGGGGTACCTCTGTCACCTCAGCAAGCTTCTTTCTTTGGCCGGACTTGTCTTTAACCTGCACGATGTGTAGACATTTCCTGGCGCAGGCCCAGCAGGGAGGGAGCAGCCACCCCTGCCATAGTGTTCTCACCCAAGTAGTTTTAGACACGATGTTTGAGACTCTGTCTCAGGAAGCTCTGGAGCCGGTGTCGTCCATTAACAAGCGCTGTCTCCTCCGAAGGTCTCCATCCAGGGATCCGGGTGAGGGAGCCAGAGCCCTGAGACTTCCTAAGCTGCCTGCCTGCTCTGCCCTGCTGCCAGCGTCTGAGTCAGTGGCAGCCCCTCCCTCGCCGCCTGGACCGCCCGTCAGAAGGTGGGAGAATGGGAGGAAGGCTGACCGCCTGTGTGAAATGAGGTTTGATGATCTGTGTCTTTTTCTGTGCCTTTAATCAGGCTTTGGAGAGTCCACTGGGCTCATGTTTGGTGTTTGTTCTTAAAAATAATTTCTTGGGCCGCCCGGTGGCCGGGTGGTTAAGTGCACGCGCTTCGCTTTGGTGGCTCAGGGCTTTACCAGTTCCAATCCTGGCCGTGGACATGGCACCGCTCATCAGGCCATGCTGAGGCGGCATCCCACATGCCACAACTAGAAGGACCCACAACTAAAAACACACAACTATGTACCGGGGGGCTTTGGGGAGAAAAAGGAAAAATAAAATCTTAAAAAAAAAATAATTTCCAAAAGTACTTATTGAAATAAAAATGTGTCATTCTGGTTCCCATCTTCAACTGCTAATAGTGACTTATAGACTGAGTTTTGATAAACTTGAGGAAACTTTCAGATGATCATAAGATGGGCTGGAGCCCCGCGAGCGGAAGCGCCCCCCAGGGCTCCACTGCGTGAGGCCTGGTCTCTGCTCCTGTGACCCCTCACAACAGCAGGCAACCCCTAGATGTGTTGACAAATCCTGTAAAAGCACTTTTTGTTGTACTCAGATTGAAGATCCAATACAAATCTTTGTTCACGGGCGGTTTAAAAATGGGTCTATTTATTTATTAGCAGAACCTGAAAACAATTCCTGTGGAGATGGCACTGGTCAGGAAAGTCATTTTGGGGTTTTAGCGCACATTCTTCTCATGATTTCTAATTGAGTTTTGGCTTTTGGGGGCCATGGCCAAGTGTGAGGGTGTGACAGAAGAAAACACACCTCCTTACCTTAGTACGGTAGGTGTCAAAGGACTTGAGGCCCCTTGAGCAAGGTAGGAGGTAAGCAAGCAAGAAGGAAGTGGCTGGGTGGCAGTCACTGTGCCCCCGTGGCAAAAATGTCAGAAAGTGATTTGCACGAAAGTGAGAAAGTGGTTCTGACCAATCCTACTTTGCATTAAACTGGATCGGTTTCACCCACCCTAACACAGGCCTGCATTTCCCACAGTGATCTTACGGGAGATTTCCTGAAAGCAAGTTTCAGCAAGAAGCTGGAAAGGCTTCTCAGGAAGAAGGTCAGGCTGGCAGTAATCAGGGTGCACCCAGGCACTCGGCAATCGTCCCCAGTGAGAACAGACGGAGCCCTCCCCACAGGTGAGAACGCTGGGAAGGGTGGAGGTATCTGGGTGCAGGCAGCAGTAAGAGGAGCCAGTGCTCCAATGCAGACACACATGGAAGAAGTGTGGAGCTACAGAAGCAGCTCCACAGAAGAAATGGGGAGGGGGGGAGCTTCTGGGAGTAGGAACCGAAAACTGCGAGTTGATTCTTGGATGGGTTCCATGCCCCGGGGAAGACTCTCTCAGTATGGCTGTCTTCCCTCTGATGCGTTGTCATCTCAGCCGGGCCCAGCTCATCAAGAAGCTGAGTACTCAAGAAAACGACTCCTTGGGCTCTGCAGACATCTTCCCTGGTCAGGAATGTGTCCCAGTGGCTGCCTTGACGGCTCCTAACGACACTCCCAACAGTCCTTCACAACACTCCCTGTGTGGCCACAATAGCAAAAGGACTTTCTTATGGCCAAAAGATTCAGTGGTTACTCCCAAATGGTTAACCAAATGGTTCTAAGAAGTGGCTACTATGGAATAGAAGGAGCAAAGAGGACATACCAGCTCGAGCTCACCATTCAGAAATCCCTGGGAACAAGAGTGGGCAGTGGCTCCCCACTCCAACACTGGACACTCCACCACCATCACTTACTTGGTCTATTGTGCTCAAGTGAGTCTTTATGGGAAGACACCTTCCTCCTTGGACATTAACATTCAAGTGAGTGCTTCCTTACCCATTTCCCAATACCTGTTCCTATTCTATAAGCCTCAAATTGCTCCAAACCCTTCTGTACCTTTGACTGCCCACGTGCCCACCATGCACGGGGTTCTGCCTGTTGAAACACAGGAGATAGCATCGAGGGGTCCCCCCCTCCCCCCCCGTCCCTGAGGCAGGCAGAGACTGCTGAGCAGAAGGTGCTGAGGGGCCACGGTGGTTCCTGAGGCTAGGGGAAATTCTGCTTGAGGCCTGGGAGCATGGCATCCTGTGCTCATTACTGTAGTTGTCCTCTCTGATGCTGGTCTGACGTAAAGGGGAGGTAAGAAAGCATCCTCCCTAAAAACTGTATTCAGGTCAATCATTTCTGGGACTGTGAAGACATTATTCTCTGTGCTATGATCTTTTAAAGTAGCCTTAAGAAGACGTAAAAGCACAGGTCTCGAACACAGAGAGCCTTTTAAATAGCTGACATACTTCCATCACAGGTGGGACGGTGGTGTACACGTATGGACAGCACTCTCGGGAACACCATCTGTAAAGCAGTGCGGGAAGCAGGACCACGATGCAGCTGCCAGAGGCACTGGCCAGTTCCATGGGGCACTCTGAAGTTGGGGTGGTCCCTCAGATACCCCAGACTGGGTCAGGGAGCTTGGGCTTTTGTGCCCCTCATTGGCACGTGTGGGTGTAAGCTTGGGTGCTGCTGCTCCCTTCCGAGGGCAATTCCTGGGGGAGGGACCAGGCTGAGGGGAGTGTCTGGGTCCTAAAGGAAGGGGTCTGGGCAGTGCACCAGTGTCCACTATCTCCCACCAGCTCACTAACAATGAGACCAACATTATTTTAAATTATTTATTTTTTTCTATAGTACATCTCATTCAAATCTTAGAACAGTCTGATACATTTTTCTCCAAGCACAACTTATACTCATTTCAGATGCTTTTTTCCTTTCCTTCTTTTAATCTTACAGGATGGACAAAGGTACTCACACTTCAACAGACAAAAGACATCCCTTAGAGTTTATTAAAAATGCAGCTTCCCAGGCCCCCCTCCCAGAGCTTCTGAGTGTCTGGGGCGGGATGCAAAACTTTAAAACTCTCCTCGTCAACTCTGCTGCAGGTGGTCTTTGAACCATCCTTAGAGGAACACTGCTTAGGACTTGTCCATTATCTACTGGAAGCAATTTCAGAAAATCCAGGAATAATTAAGTATACAGAAATAGCTCTTCTATAAAATTTCCGTATAAAAATAATGGTATTTATTTACAAAGTTTGAGTTGCTACAAAATAATACATCATATTAGGTTCGGGACTTCAATCTAATCGAGGCTACGTTAGGCAAGTCGGATGTGGTGTTTGCATTTTCCCCTTCTTTCTCTTGTTTAAACTGGTTAAAGCATGTGGCACCAGGATGGTTCCTTCATGCAGAAAGAAGCAAAACTATATTTTCTGGAAATAACACCTAACAGCACATGATCAGAGTAAAGCATCTCTAAACGAAAAGGTGAACAAACTGGTGATTTGGGCTCACAGCCTTTCTCTTTTCATCCACAAGTCAAGTGTGGTGGGACACAAAGGACCTCGGGGACCTTCAGCGTTACACTGCAGTCCGAAGAGCTCGGGCCTCCTGAGCAGCCAGTGCAGTTGGCTACTTGGCAGTTCCAGTTGTCAGGACTCTGAAGGACTGAACCTATCATGTTACTACTGGGAAAGAGAGAACTGCAGCGTGCTCAGAGAAGCCTTTTAGCGCAAAGTATCTGGGTCCTCAGTGACCTTTTGGTATGAAAACATCTTTGACCCCAGTTGTGATCAAGCAAAATCATGAGATCATTTGTTATTAAACTGTGCCTGGCATGTTGAAGATGAGGCAGGGTAAGTCACAAAATGGTGAGACTGAAGTGACAAAGTGATGGGTTTTAAAACCCAAACATGATCTGGGGAAGTTTCTGTGTCGAGACAGACATGGCCAGAAACGAGCTAACGTGTACAGATGGGTCAGCTGGTAACTGAACCTCTCAAGCTCCGCGCCACCCACCCAGTGACCAGTGTGCACAACAGTCCTCGCCCGTGGAGGACAGAGTTTCTTCCCAGGTGTGACTGTCCACACGTGGGGGCTTCTGAGTTGAGAGCGGCCCGAAGCTGACCCCACAGCCTCAGGCTGGGACTCATGAGTGGAGTCCCATCTCTGCTCCTTGGCTGATGCTAATCCAAACGCATCTGGAGGGACTGTGCTGAGGGCGTGGATTTCAGGAGGCAGAGTCGTTTTAAATGAGTGGAGTGGAAGAGATGTTCTCTCCCATCCCGAGGCCTGTGGCGGAGAAGGGGTGAGAGCCGCCCCTACATTTCAGCCACATTCTGCTTCCAATGCAGCTAGAGGCAGGCAGGACCAGAGTCCCATCTGCTGGAACAGCAAGGGGTCAAGATGGCACTGCACCCTCCAGGCCTTTTTGTAAAGCCAAGACTATCTAAGAACCATGCACGATTTTACCTTGCCTGAGAGGAGCTGCACAGAATACACATCCTACACGAATACATTTCCTCCTGTGTCCACACCAGCCGAACGGACATCTGCCACCGTTTAAGCTCCTGTACTCGTCAGGGACTCCTGGGGCGGAACTGCATGCTCTAAGTTTTGTGTCCTTCACTTTTTCTTCCTTAGCAGAGCGTGACTGTGGGAAAATTCGATCTCAAAGCTTATCCAAACATAACTTTTCAGAGAGATCTTGGTTATGTAAAGGGGTTAATTCCTGAGAAATGTTATAATTTAGGTGGACGTTAGGCTTGAACTTTTTTAAAGGTAAAATCTTAAGCAAACGTCAGTCTTCTTCCTTTTGAGTAACAGTGTTCGGCTTGAGTGGAAGTTAAGGAACTGAACACTGGACTGACAGTGAACTGGAGGCAGAGAGGCACATCTCGGGGTGACTCGCACAGCAGGGTGCAGGCCCCTGGCACACAGAGGGTCTTCAATAAACAGATATCACGATCATCAGCGCTTGGGGACATTGCTTTGGGTGCATGAAAATGGGGAAGCTATTTGGGAAAATGAGCCATAAGTAGTCTTTCATCCCACTAACGCCAGACCACATGCAGAATAAAAGATTATGTTTTATGTATCTATATAAAAAGTAGATCTCTATGTATCCAACAACTTGTAAAACTAGAAGAAAACACCTAGAAAAGCGATTACTTTTTTATGGAAGGCAACGAAGCCAATAATGAGAACTTCATGGGTAGTCAGAATCTTCTCTTGGTTTACGGACGCTACCTGCAGCTAAGCTTGGTTTTCTTTTAAATCTTAAAAATTCTTTAGCTGACTCCAAAATGTATGCTTAAAACTGGAACAGGGCAGCCTTGGAACTGACACTCCAAGTGCGTGGCAGGGGACAGCCATCTATCTGTCAATTATCTGACTTAGGACAAATGCCACTTTCTCAGGGCCTTCCCTGGCCACCTCCAGACAAAGCAGCCTTTCCTCCACTGTCTCATCACCCTGTCGTTTTCTCCGTAGCACTAGTCAATCTGAGTGTTTTCTGTCCTGTATTCACTCAAACACTGACGGACTAACTCCACACTCACTGTCCAACCCCGCCTGCAGTCAGTCCTGGGGTCTAGCTCCCAGCTGTGGGAAGGGTGCTCCTTTCATCAGCCCGAGGGGAGGGAGGGAGAGGGATTCAAAGGGCCCTTGAGGTGAGCCACTGAGGAAGCTCACAGGCCTCTCTGCTAGTGGTTCTGGGAGGAGATGAGGCCTTCCCCGCCTTTGCTAACCCTGCCCCCACCAACACCCACCCCACTATGTTCTGACGTCACAGGGCCTGAGTCTCATCTGCACCTGGGGCAACTCCACTGTCTCTACAACCCAAGTCGCCCAGAGTCGCGAGGTAGCAAACAGCCGACTTAAGATGACTGCACGACTCACAGGCGACTGTGCGGCAGACAGACAGAGCCCCTCCCTTGTGAACTAGCTCCCTTGGAATGATCTGATGGGGCTAATTTGTGTTTGAAGACTGACTCACGTTATTTTTCAAGTCTGGCAGAGTATGGTTACAACTGCAAACTCTGCTAACGAGGGGAGTCATCCTCTTTTATCCTGGTAAAATAGCAGAAACGACAGAGTCCTCCCCACCGCTTGTATACAGAATCCAACTGAAGGAAAGAGGACATGTGGCGGTCGTCTGTAGTCTTCCAAGGGCAGCGGGCAGCGCTGAGGGGAGGGCTCCCTGGTGGCACTTCCTTCTTGCCCCTCCCGAAGTCCTCCATTGTGTGAGGCACCCTTTAGCCCTGTGCTCACTGAGGCTGCTCCCACGCCCTGCCGTCACAGGAAGAGAGGAAGTGGAAGAGACAGAGCCTCAGCGGGGAAGGGTGAGGGGAGCCTGGGTGCCCTGGGCACGGCCATGGACCCTGCAGGGTTCCCCTCGCCGCTTAGGAGTCAGGTAACACAGGCCTGGTGCCACCTGCGCAAGTGCCAAATGGAGCCAGAATTCACTGACTGAGAGTGCTACGCACCTGAGAGGGCAACAGCCAAACGGGCCTGGGGGGGGGGGGGGGAAGGTCTCCTGAACTCCCCAAAGCAGAGTGTGACCAGCACCCTCTGGGAGGGGTGTCTGTGTGTGTCCGTGTGTGCGTGCCTGTCACCCCATGTGTGTGCACATGCAAGTAACCCCAAGTGCTACTCCTAGAAAGAAGCCTGGATGTCGTAACCACAATTTCCTAACATCTTTTCACGTTGATTTCTATATGAAATTTTGAGTGCTGAAGTTTAGACACAGATAAATCTGTTTAGGGGAGATGCAGAAGAATAACAGGATTTATCTTTCTAGACATCTCAACCTAGTTGTCTGCTCGGGTAAGGCTTTACACCAGCGATGTGCCTGGTGACCACAGTGCGACTCTTCTAGAAGTCCTCAGCAGCAACCCAAACACGCTACTGAGGAACGGAGGCCATTTCCCTCCAAACGCCACACACCCGTGGCTGGGACGGCCAACAATGGGGCCCCAGGAATGATGAGTCTTTGGTTGCTTTTGTCCATTCGAAGCACTATCCCGGGGAGGGGGGGGGCAGCCGCCCCAGACGGCCAGCGAGGACCGGCCCTTCTGCAGAGGAAGGTCAGGGTGGACGTGCCTGTCACGAGTGACGGACCTGCAGCACAGCACTCTGAACACTAAGGGGCTGTCCGTTGGCCTCTCCAGCTCCCTGCCAGGCCCCCTCAGGTAGAGGCATGAGGAAAGGCGGCGGTCAGTAAAGAAAGGGGAAGCCTCGGGAGGACAGTTGGGAAGGGAATCCGGTTTTACCTGACTGCAGCTGTCACTCTCCCATCAGAAATGTCCCCTGAGGCCCCTGGGGACCCGCTGCAGCCTCTGCAGTGTTTCGGACCCCTCCCATCTGCCCAGCTGAGAGGTGTGCCCCAGAACTCGGGCTGAGACAGAATTCTCCAAAAACTGCCCTCCCTCTGCCCTTTGAGCACTCTGGGTCTGCACCATGGCTTATTTCTGACCGAATGAGTTTTGTCTCAAAGGAACTTAAGTAAAAGTTGTATGTTCTTGTGTATTAGTTTTATGACCCTAAGAAAAATTTTAGGTCAGCCAAACCTTTCACCTCCAGCTCACTGTCAGCAGAGCGGCAGAGCTTTGAAAAGGCATCATAAGGCACCCACGCTTTCCCCATGGGACTTAGAAAAGAACCAAGTGGGGCCGAGCTCAGGGCTGGGCCCACAGATGCTGGCTGCATAATCTAGGGGCAAAGCCAAATGATTCAAGTCAAAGATCCAGATTAGCTTTCCATTACTATTTGCTCCTTTCAAGGCCTTCCTGTGAAATTAAGTTGCGGTTGGCCACGGCAGGTGTCTCCACCCTCCTCCGTTCAGAGGAGCAGCAACTGTGGACACACCACCGCAGTGTTCCTAGCGGCATCTTTGGCTATGAAATAACACACTATATCCTGCGCTACTACAAATCCAATCATTTGGAGTGTTCAACATTTTTTGGTGTTTTTGTGAAACACTGACTATCAAGTTAGTTTGAAATGCAATTTATCCAGGAATAAACCCAATAAGGTCATTTTGATTAACGAAAATGTACAAAAGGTGACATGTACAGGAAAACATTGCTGTTCAGGTTCTTGAAATAGACTTTTCTTTTAAGACAAAAGTAATGACATTTGGTTCATTTTCACAAATTGCACACTGGGTGAAATACAATTACTGCAGGGAACCGTAAGCAAGCAATTCGGTCATAGGAATTTGTTTCTTTGTTTTGTTTTAAATGATAAAGCTGTATGAAATGCATAGCTTTGATTAAAACTATAGATACAAGTTCCCTCTCTGTAAAACTCCAGATTTAGAATGCTGGCGAAAGGCAGTGCTGGCAAAGTATTTAATGCACATGGAAATGCTATTCTATTTTGGCTTCCATACGTAGCCCTAGAAAATTCTATGCACCACTGCATTGGCTAATAATGATCATTTCAGTTTTACTATAAATTATTCTAAATGTCACTTAAGTACTTAAGAAGTAGCGCTCGCTCCTTTCTAGAAGCCGTCTAAGGCAGCTGATGCGTAAAGCACCTCAACTAGACTTTCAACTAGTTCAGCAGTTTAATCTGCGCTCCTTAGGCCAGAAGGACTGCCATCTACACCCCTCACTGTACAACTCTCCCCACTAGGAACTTCCCAGGTTCCCCTCGGCCTCATAAAAGGCAGCCAGGCAAGGGAGAGAAACGCGAGGGAGCAGCCCATCAGGAAGTGTCCGCTGTAGCAATCGGAATCCTACAGAGGGTGACACGTGGGGCAACACACAGATCCCGCCTCAGGGAGAGAACTGAGCTTCATTCACGCTGCCAGTTCTTCAGGGACTATTCCCTCCATCCCCTCAGAAAACACACCTCGTCCGTGGTGTGATCGCACGCTCTGTTGTTCAGAGTTCCCATTCACACTACGTTAACTTCCACCTCTATCATCTCAGCCTTCGTGTGATTTGCTTATTGTGTTTCCCTAGTTTTCACTGAACACACAGCGCAAACAGAGGCAAGGACTGAAGCAGTCATTTCAAAAACAAGAGCTCACACTACAAACACACATGAGCATCAAATACTAAAACGTGGGTTTTCTCCTGTCTTTATTCTGGGGAGGAGGAATCCTCCTCGTCATCTTCCTCGTCTTCGTCGTTGAACGAACAGGGGGTCTCACCTCGCGACTCAGAGCAGTGAGAGGCCGCACTGCTGGACTGGTGACTGTTTGGGGCAAGGAACTGCCCCGTTGCTAAGGCCACTTCAGCATCCAAGCACAACCCTTGGTTTACACTAGCAAACAATTAGAAACACACAGCCTCATTAATGTGGCATGTTTTAAGCTTTGTCAAACACAGGAATAAAAATATGGGAAAGGAGGTGCCACTAGCGAGCTCAGGCCTGTGCCAGCAGTGACGCGCAGGCCCTCCCTCCAGGAGGGTCAGTGCTTCGTAGCCTGCCTTTCCAGACCTGGAGATATACGTACCTTGATTGGGACAAGGTGGCACCAGTGGTCAGGTCTAAATTTGAAACTGACTGGGTAGAGTTCAAGAGTAGTCCCTGATTTAACCAGGCGGGTCCTGTGGAGATATCTACAGAAAAAACAAAAACAGAAGAGGTAGGCGCTGCAGCTTCTGTTACAGCCCGAAGCAAGCACAGACTCAGAGGGGGATGAGCCTGTTCTAAATCACAGCCAGACAAGTCCTGGGAAGAACCCAGGTTTCTTCAGCTTAGAAAAAAGAAATTTCTAGAACATTAAGATCAGGAAGAAAATACAGGAGGGCAGACTACAGCAAGGAAGAATTCAAATTAAACCAACATGGACCTTCTCATTCTTTTTTTCTTAAATAAGACCTCCAGAGGGTAGTTCACTGAGTGCAGTGATGGCTGGCCTATCCCTGGACACCTGCTGTCCTCGCCACAGAAGAGTGTTTGCGGTGCTAACAGCCAAAGCCAGGCGTGGGTAAGGAGAAAGGTGAATCAAAAATGTCTTAGGTAAGAAGGACACGTTTTTGCCAAAACCTCCACTGCACCATCTTTTGAAGGGCCCCCTGGTGAACTCAGTGCTATTACTCATCAAAGATTGATTCTTTTCCTGATATCCTTTGCTTCATAACTCAAACCAGCCCTTATTCTGAAAGGTCATATACAGTCACGTTTTTAATGACACTGAGACAGCTATTACTGTTTTAGTAATTCTTTGGGTATATCCTTGCAATCTTATTTTCTATACCACCATATTTTTCCTATCACAACGTTGGTCAATTCTTATTGTAATTTTACTTGTTTAATATTTGCCTCCTTATCTAGAAGGTTAGCTCAACGAAGGCAGTGACTGGAACATTTAAGATTTAAACGTTACTGAATGAAAGAGTATACTCTCTTCCAACAGTGAGTCTGCAAAACAGGTGGTAGATACGTTACAGATACATTCCTAAAAATAAACCATTTGACTTCCATTATAAGATAAGAACAAATATATGCTCAGAAAATATAATTTGCCAAAATGAGCTTTTATGACATTTAATCAAAATAGTTTTGTAGTTACTGTGCAAAAAAAAATGAAACTACGTCTTGTAGTTTCATTCATTCAAAAACGAAATGGCGTCTCGGGATGGGAAACGCGCCTATCCTGGCAGTCTGACCAAGCGAGAGGCTTCCCACGTAGGAGACCAGTACACTGAATGAACTACATTAACTTTACAATAGCCTCGTGAACCCTTTTATTTACAGGCTAACTAAGGCAGCTGTGAAAAAAAAAGAACTCCAATTCTAAGAATGGCAGACTTTAAATACACTAAATAAGCACAAGTCTGTACAAGATAAAATTCAGCCAGAATCCTGTGCTGAATAGTAATTAGTATATATGGAAACTTTCTGTCAGCACACAGCTATTTACTTGTTTGAGAGCATAACACATTAAATTTTCTTTTCACAATGGCTTTGAATAGCCTACGTTTCTTTCACATTATCACAGGACCCACACAATGGTGCCCACAATCTCACTCAAGAGCCACTCTGTCCCTCTGCACACTAAAGGCACACGTTTCTTCTTTTGAACGAACCAGAAAGTCTGTGTCTCAGTCTGCAAATGAGGTCATGAGGAGATCAAACCATAGAGCCTGCCTCACTGCCCTGAGCCTTTCCACTGAGAATAAGCTAAAATGAAGTTCTGGTGATTTCCTGAGGAAGCCCTTTATTCAGACCCTGCTGGACTGCCACTATGACTGGGCTGCTAACAAAACAGCAGGTCCTGCTCTGGGAGAGCGCGGGGAGACGGGCAGGTGGGGGGTGAAGATACGGGACTGGCTGGGGGCAAGAGGAAGGGGGTGCCCGCAGGAGGGGGATGGCGCCAACTGGAGAACCAAATCAAACAGAAACCAAACCTCAATCAACAGACTTACGTTGTGACCAAAAGGCCAAAACCATAAAACAGAACAAAATAAAAACGACTTCTTTGCTTATATTTAATATACCTTGCAATTAACATTATAATGCCTTTAAAAAGTGATGTAAAATCCTAGGTGTAATATTTATAAATGAAGGAAACTGGCAGGAGCCAAAGGAAAAGCATTGCTTATACATCCAAATTTACATATGCAGAATATACCATAGTCTTAGGAATTAAAGATTTATGAATTATGGGGAAAAAAATCTGAATTACAGAACATGGAAAACGTGTTTTTGTTTTCAAGTATACTCAGTATATTTTTATAACTTATAATAAAAAGACAAATAACCAAAATGGCAAAATGGGCAAAGGATCTGAATAGACTTTTCTCCAGGAAGATACACAAATGGCCAATGAGCACACAAAAAGATGCTCAACATCATCAGTCATTAGGGAAACGCACATCAAAACCACAGTGAAACACCACCTCACATCCGCTGGGATGGCTAGAATAAAAAAGACGGGCAATAACAAGTGCTGAGAAGGATGCGGAGAAACTGGACCCTCAAACATTGCTGGTAGGACTAGAAAATGGTTCAACTGCTTCAGAAAATAGTTTGGCAGCTCCTCAAAATGTTAAATATAGAGTTACCATAGGACCCAGCAATTGCACTCCTAGGTAAACACCCAACAGAACTGAAAATTTATGTTCACGCAAAAACACGTACAAGAATCTTGACAGGAACACCACTCATAATAGCCAAAAAGTGCAAACAATCCAAATGTCTTCAAACTAATGAATGGACAGACAAAATACTATAACAATAAAAAGGGATACAGTACTGATACAAGCCACACATGGGTGAGCCTTGAAAACATGATGCTGAGTGAAAGAAGCCAGTCATAAAGGATGCATTTGTATGATTCCATTTATAGGAAATGTCCAGAATGGACAAATCCACTCTTTTTTTTTTTGAGGAACATTCACCCTGAGCTAACTACTGCCAATCTTCCTCTTTTTGCTGAGGAAGATCGGCCCTGAGCTAACATCCATGCCCATCTTCCTCCACTTTATATGTGGGACGCCTACCACAGCATGGCGTGCCAAGCAGTGCCAGGTCCGCACCTGGGATCTGAACTGGCAAACCCCGGGTCGCCCAGAAGTGGAACGTGCTCACCTAACTGCTGCGCCACCAGGCCGGCCCCGACAAATCCATTCTGAATTAGTGGTTGCCAGGAGCTGGGAGGAATGGGGGAATAGGGCACCACTGCTAATGCATATGGGGTTTCTCTTTGGGGTGATAAAGATGTTTTAGAATTAGATAGTGGTGATGACTGCACAACCTTGTGAATATACCAAAAACCACTAAATCATATAGTTTAAAATGGTTTATTTTATGGTATGTGAATTAAATCTCAATTTCAAAAATCTACAGGGGGCTGGCCCGGTGGCAGAATGGTTAAATTCATGGACTCCATTTTGGCCCAGGGTTCACGGGTTCAGATCCCCTGGCACGGACCTACACACCGCTCATCAAGCCACGCTATGGTGGTGTTCCACATACAAAATAGAGGAAGACTGCCACAGATGTTAGCTCAGCAACCATATTCCTCAAGTAAAAAGAGGAAGACTGGCAACAGATGTTAGCTCAGGGCAAGTCTTCCTCACAATTAAAAACAAAAGACAATAGCAACAACAAAAAAATTACAATGATACCATTTCACATCCACCTGATGGGAAAAACAGAACACTTCCACTCCGCAGGGGAGACTGTAACCTGGTCAAATCCAGCTGAAAACCTTTGCACCATTTGGCAAAGCTGAAGATGCACCTGCCTCTGACCCAGCACCTCGCTACACACACGTGCACAGGGTCACTAGGGTACAGGTAAAGGAAGGTTCAGGATAGCGCTGTCTTTTAATACCAAGAAACTGGAAACAAAGCTAAAGGTTTATCATCAGTAAAATGAACAAATAAATTGTGACATATTCATATAATGGAATTCTATACAGTAGTAAAAATGTATGAATTATAGCTACATTAAATCATGAGAACAAATCTAAAGAACATGACGTTGAGTGGAAAAAAAAAAAAAATCAAATCAGGGGCCGGCCCGATAGTGCAGCGGTTAAGTTTGCACGTTCCGCTTCAGTGGCCCGGGGTTCACCGGTTCGGATCCCAGGTGCGGACATGGCACCGCTTGGCAGGCCATGCTGTGGCAGGCGTCCCATATATAAAGTAGAGGAAGATGAGCACGGATGTTAGCTCAGGGCCGGTCTTTCTCAGCAAAAAGAGGAGGATTGGCAGATGTTAGCTCAGGGCTAATGTTCCTCAAAAAAAAAAAACCAAACACCAAAGAATATATCACTATGATTCCATTTATATAAAGGTCAGAAGTAGGCAAAACTAAGCAATAAATTGTCGCCAGTTTACTTTATTTGTTTGTATCTCTAAAGAGCAACTGAGGATGAACAAGAAATTTAAGAGAGTGGTTACATTTAGGGGGTGGGGAAGGGCACAGAATCCAGAGCAGGTGCACCGCAGACAAATTTTCTGAGAAAGGTTTTAACAAGTTAGGATTTGACATTTATCAGGGACGACGTGTGAGAGCATTAGTTAACATACCTGTGACGTAACCTTCTAAAGCCTTTGGCACCAGTGACTTAGCCAGTTTCAGATCCTCCAGAGAGCATTTGCCTGACTCCAGCCCGAAGGACATCCCCATCCGCTTCAGGACCTCTATGTCATCATGGATCTCAAAGGTGTTGTCAAAATTGAAAAGATATTCAAACCTGCATCAGGAAACAAAGTTAGGATGGGGTTTTCTTTGGCACTGGGGAGGTCTGAGTAGTTTTGTACTCTTGACGTTACATAAAAGAATGAGGGCCTAAGTTCAGCTATCGTAGTAGAAACTGTTACCGTTTAGAGCAATAAGAGTCATTCTGCTGTGTTCAGGGGAATGACATCTCAAACAAACCACTTTCCCAATCAAAACAATTTTCCAGGGGCCAGCCCAGTGGCACAGTGGTTAAGTCCACGTGCTCGGCTTTGGTGGCCTGGGGTTCACAGGTTTGGATCCTGGGTGTGGACCTAGCACTGCTCGTTAACCCTAACCCTAACCCTGTGGCGGCATCACACATACAAAATAGAGGAAGACTAGCACAGACGTTAGCTCAGAGACAATCTTCCTCAAGCAAAAAGGGGAAGATTGGCAACAGACATTAGCTTAGGGCCAATCTTCCTCACCAAAAAAACACCCAAAAAACAATTTTCCTGTGACAGACAATAGGAGTCCATAAACTTTAGTCCTCATTAAGCTGTTACAAACTGGAGACAGAAATTTTGGTCTAAATCCAATACTTTCGAAAGTTGTCTACAGGTTTGTCACAAAAGATAAAATAGTAAGACAGCCTTTCCAGTTTAATGTGTGACATCTTTACTGTGAGCTGGCCTACTAGGTTTGAAGAAAAAACATTTTGGAAGCTTACTTCATTTTCATGAGCCAAGTGTTAACTGCAGCATACTTCAGATAAGCAGTAAACGGAAGACTTTTCACAAACTAACCAAGCCCCAAATCCTGTCTTGAGAGCAGGAGGAGTGAAATGTCTTAAGAAAAAAGTGTCACAAGTAACACATAGCACATTTCCAAATGTTCCTGAGAAGTACCAGTCAGGATGCCCAGCACAACGTTTCAATAAAGAGGCCACTGCAGCAAGAGACAGTCTTGTGGCTCCCAGGCGGGGCCCTGGGGCACCTGCACCTCAGGCCTCAGTCCTACAGGGACCGAGCACAGGTGAATGTTCTGGGACGATGGTGGTTTACCTTGTCATGAAATTCCCTCCATTAAAATTATGAGAGGGTAAAATTTTTATGCTAAATCTTAGATCAGGGCAAATGTTACAATTTAAAGCAAAATGCCATTTTTATTTGAAGTATATGAACTTGAATAAAGTACGTTAACAAATTTTCAGAAAAAAACACAAAAAATCTGAAGTGTGGGCCTGCCACAGGGATGATTCCAGGCATAGTTAAAAGAAGACGGTTTTGTAAATTTAATCCTCGTTGAGGGAAAGCCTCCTGGCTAACGAAGGTGAAAACACTGCACCACCAAAGCAACTGCAAGTCAGGGTTAGGACCTGCCTTGACTAACGAGCCCCTGCGAGCTCCTCCAAGTGCTCCGAGCCGCCTCCTCTCCACCCAGCGGAGGGCCGGGAAAGGGCCTGAGTCAGTAATCCCCAAGGATGGAACCTTCCAGACCCCAGTCCGGGGTGAAGAGAATCCCTAATTCCCTTAGGCCAATGGTTCTAATTTTCCTCCTACTCTTTTTAGATTTAGAAGACTAACCAAAGAGAACTTAACAGTTCCCCACAAGAGACTAACTAGAGTAACTAGAATTATAAGTGTTTTTTCCCCTGAAAATATGTTATCCATTCTCTATAATTCTCGGTTTTATGAGAATATGTTAACAGCCCTTTTAGATAATAGGTTTTTGTAAAGAATCTGCAAATGTGTGAATAATAATACAGACACCTACCATTTACTGACCACTGGGCTAGGTCTGCTATGAATTTATCTATAACTTTTGAAAACCAGCAAGTTAAATACTATAGTTCTTACTTTCACGGAGGAAGGAACGAGATCTCAGAGAGGTTAAGAAACTGTATACCTGGAAGAAAGACTGAAACGTGGATCCTCTGACTTCATAGCCTGCATGGTGCCTATTTCTAATTGTGTCCATAGTCTAAATTACCAAATACTTTCAAAATCCCTCCTGCTTTCCTCCTCCTCCTTTTTTTGGTGTCTTCTTATTTAAGTGACCCAGAATCTCTGTATGCAATCAAGACAGACGGGGGCAGCACCACTGCCCGAGAAAAGAGCAGGGAAAATGAGAGATGGTACAGCCCAAGGGCAATGCTGTAGCTCTAAGCGGACCAGAAGCTCCCATCTCCCTGGGACAGTCCTGGGCTATGCCTGTGGTACTGATGTAATTATTGAGCCCTTTTTTGCTTTCAAATGTCTACCAATTTGGATGATAAATGATATGCTGACTCCTCGTGTTTATGAAGCACTTGCCCTGAGTCAGAGCCTTTAAGGCATTCTCTCTTTTAATCCTCACAACAAGGCTAGGAAGTGACAGATGCCCTGGTATCATCCCCATTTGTTCTTCAGAAAACAGAGTTTTGGAGCAGGCAAATGGGGGAACCACAATCCACACTTGGGTCTGTCTCACCCTGCGTGATATACCCTTAACTATCTCATGATGCTGGTCACAGCCTGAAGACCACTGCTGTTTTCATGAAGAGTAAAATAAACAACAAATCAACTGTCTATTTTATAAGCTGCTACTTCTCACTTGCTATGATGAACATTACCATCAACCTTGGTTAAAACATAAAAAAATGTTGGTGGGAATGTAAATTGGTGCAGCCACTACAGAAAACAGTATGGAGGTTCCTCAAAAAATTAAAAATAGAACTACCATATGATCCAGCAATTCCACTTCTGGGTATACATCCAAAGGAAAGAAAATCACTATCTCAAAAAGACATCTGCTCCCCACGTACACTGCAGCATTACCTACAATCGCCAAGGCAAAGAAACAGCCTACATGTCCATCAATGGATGAATGGATAAAGAAATGTGTATACACACACACACACACACACAAAAACACGCACACAATGGAATAGTCAGCCACACAAAAGAAGGAAAACCTGCCATTTGGGACAACATGGATGGACCTCAAGGGCATTATACTAAGTGAAATAAGTCGGAGAAAGACAAATACTGTCTGATCTCACTTATATATGCAATCTAAAAAAACTGAACTCACAGATTCAGGGAACAGACTGGCGGTTGCCAGAGGGAGGGGGTGAGGGGTTGGTGAAAAAGGTGAAGGTGGTCAAAAGGTACAGACTTGCAGTTAAAAGATAAACAAGAAAAAAAGAAAGCAGAGAACACATCTAGCATTTTCATGTCCATTCATTCATTTACAAACAGAAGCACACTCAACTATGATACAGAAAAACAAAGAAATAATTGCTTTAATGCCACATCTTGCTCTAAAATATATCCACAATAAACTATGATAGTGACTCACCAGTGACCCTGCCTTGTCCCAGTTCCTCATGGACGGCCTGCTGCAGCTACCTGGCCTAAGCTACCACATCCAGGCACACCCTGGACTAGGTCCAGGCACCACTGTGCATATACACAGGCAGCAGAGTGCCAGGCACAGGACAGCGGCTGCAGAGGGGGAGTGATGAGGCGCACCAGCAGACGGCAGCACTCCAGGCTTGCAAAGGTGTCTCACGTGCCCCCGGAGGTCAGCCTTGGGGGGCTCTGATCAGATCACATCAGATCACAGAGCACACCCTTCTTTATTTTGCAAATGATAGGAATCTGTTACAGGAGGTCAGCCCTGTCCGCCCCCCTGCTCTCACTCACTTGTCACTGGAGATGCTGCAATCTATGACTGTTTTCCTGCTTGTGTTGATGATTATAAATGGCAGCTGAATGGTGGAGTTCAGAGCTGGAGGGCCCTGGTTCTGCTGTTCATTTTGCCGATTTCTCTGCACCAGGTTTTTGAAAGCGATTTGCTGTAATGATCAATATAAAGAATATGGTCATTTAATGTGGATAAGTGAGTTGGAATTAAATGAATTAAGATAAATACATTTAAAATATAGTTTAAAATTAGACAAAGAGGCTTTCCACCTATGAGTTAATTATTTTTTTAATTAATTAATTAAATTTTTTTGGAAGATTAGCCCTGAGCTAACATCTGCCACCAATCCTCCTCTTTTTGCTGAGGAAGACTGGCCCTGAGCTAACATCTGTGCCCATCTTCCTCTACTTTATATGTGGGACGCCTGCCACAGCATGGCTTGTCAAGAGGTGCCATGTCTGCACACAGGATCTGAACCAGTGAACCTAGGGCTGTTGAAGTGGACCGTGTGAACTTAACTGCTGTGCCACCGGGCTGGCCCTGTTATGAATTAACTAAAATTAAACATTTAAGATTAGAATGACCCAACTCAATAAACATACTTCAAGTGAAAAAATATACATTTAAATGGTGTCTAACATCATCCTAATGTAAATAGTGGGGCCCATGGTCTCCATTATTCATACAAACAGGATCTGACAAATCTGAGAGAGAGCCCAGTGGCACCTGCAACTCTTCTTAGAGTGACACAGCGAAAGTGACACCAAGCGAACTTATGTTTTCCATTTATCTAACACAGACTTCTGAGACTTTAGGGTTAAATAACCCTTTTAGATTGTCTAGCCCAGGGATATACAAACTTTATAAAGCCACAGAATACTTTCTTCAAATGAAATCTGATGGGACAACCACTATATAAACCAGATGCAGGCAGCACTGCTCTGGCTGGCTGCCAGGGGGCAGGAGGCCTGAACCTGCCAGCTCCGCCCTCATTCACCCCTCAGGTTCCCAGACCACCTCCGCACAACTTCTCAGCATCCTTAGGGCACAGCTGGAATCTGGCCCAACCCTCCCCGTACCTGACATCTTCCAGATGAGGAAACTGAGGCTTACACTGATTATAACACATATCAAGGCCTGAATCTTTACACTGAATCTTGCTGTCACTTTTAGTTATAACCATTACTCAAAAGTCAAAGACAATGACCGCCCCTCCTTTTACTAAGGCAAAAGTATCCTAGAATTCCATAGCCATAAAGACCGTACGCAGTTCAAGTTTTTCATCTGCTCATGAAACAGATACTGGTTTTTAAAGCTCCTGAAGTCAGACCCCTCATTCTCTTTCATCAGCTTGTTCCACCCTCTCACCCAGTGGTGATGGAGCTATTTTCTGTATTTTAGCAATCTTCCCCCATGATTGTTTATTTTAGGTTCTGGGCCTTAACTAGAGTTTGATAAACATTATTATCGTCTTAAAATGGCTGGGTGCTACCTCCCTAGAAAGTGAACGTTTACGCTTAGAATGCACAAAACAGAAAGGACACCAATTTATTCTAGCCCTAACAGTATGTCCGAAAGTCATTACCCCATATCAATCACTGTCAAAAAACGATCACTATCAATACTTAAATACTACTATCAAACTTTAAGTTAAATTTCTTCATTATTTTCTGCTGCTAAAGAACTAAGGCTGTCTTTCATTGCTTAGTTCACTTCACAGAGGGGAAAAATATGCTGAAACTGTACAACTGAGAAAAAGAATGAATATTTGAATTCTTCTGCTTACGTTCTCTACCCTCCCACTGGAAAAAGCATCTGGGGAGAAGCTCCCTACTTTGCCCAGCTTTGTGGCCCTAGCACCACGGGAGGGCCTCAGTGTGGGGGGATATAAACAATGATGAGTTCTTTATATACTTATGATTCACTGTTTAATATCATGTACGTTTAACAGCATCAAAGATTTTTCAGGTGAAGAGAGCAGTAATAACATACTAACGTTATTTTGATAGCAAAAAAAAAAATCACCTCCCATTTGTTTTGGATTAATTTCCTTATTTGCTGCCCTTTGAATGATTTCCTTCAGGCTTTGTTCTTTTTCAGGCTCACTAATATCTATTTCAGAGGCTAAACAGCTCCGGGTGAGTTCAGACATCCATTTGGCTGTGCATCAGCAGCTCTGGGAAAGCCTCAAGGGCTGGAAGGGACAAGCGGACAGGCAAAAGCAGGGTATCTGCATTATCTATGGGTGTAATCTACTCACATCATTCCTCCCCTAGCTACCAAGAGGGGCGGCAGCACCTAAGTAAAACTTACCTGCGTCCTGTGATGTCAGTGAGTCGTGACATTAACTTGTTAAATTAAGCTAGCTTAACCATGGCAAATTATCAGTGTTCAGGAACAACTTGTTTGACTTTCTGTGACAACTTCATAAATGTTATTTGATGAAAGAAAGAAAAACGAAACACTGCGAGGATAAGCTGTGAGTCACCAGAAGACCATTAAGTCGCCGTTTTCAGTTAGACTTGGAGTTTCTTTTTAATGTTTGGAGAGACCTGCTCTTACGCATGTTGACAGCTAGGCTGCCCCTCAGTTGCAATCTTCTATAAATATTTGGCTTGAGAGACAGTAGAGGAAAAGAAATTTAGGACTTAAAAAAATATAACGTTCCTCGTATAAAGATACACAGGAAAAAAATATTTAGCTTCATTCTTTGTTTTGGCCATCTAGAGAGGGAAAGTCCCGCACGTATGAGGGCCACCTTGCCCAGCACCGTTCTTTCTGATGAACAAGCAGATAATGACAGGCTTACTGATAAACCGGTTCTTTAAAATAACAAGTGCCAAAAATCAAGCTCCAAAATGCTCGGTGAAGGTTTTGAGGAAATCTAGGGAAGGCCAGCACACAGCTGAGGGATGGTGAGCTGGAGGGAAATACTGCAGACCCCTGTGCAGGGACAGAGCCAGGAGAAGAGGCGGCTGGCAGAATGAGGTGACAGCGTAGGAGGGAGAGGCGAGGGCCTGGCAGGCCAGTCTATGAGAAGGCAGGACTCCACAGGAAGGAGCACAGGACTGCTGTCAGCTTCCAGGTTTTTTTAAGCTGCAGAACACTTCATATCAAATCTCATTTAGGAGTCCAATATGAAAAATACATAAAAAGCCTGCTCCAGCGGTAACTCCTCAGGCAGGTCCCACAGGGTTCAGCGTGAAAAGCACACAGGGCACAGTAAGAAAGAAGGACATGGCCTCATCAGGAGGGAACCTCACCCTGGGGCTTCCCATGCGCGGTAAGCCTCTGCTCCACCTGCCGCACGCCCCTGCCCGGGCTCTGCTTCCTCCCTGCTTCCTTCTCAGACCGACCCACATCTCTGAAGGGCAGGCCCTCTTCCTCAGCCTCCCTGATTCATACATGAATGTGAAAGAAAAACAGAAGCAACCAGAAAGTGAAAAATAAAAACCTGGAATATTTAACATATTCTGCTCACTAAATAAAGTGAGTTATTTTAGAAAAAGACCTGTCTACCATATTCGGTAACTTATTGCTACCTTTACTTCTAAAAAGTGCATTACACCCAAAATTAAACAGGACCCACAGTTGTGCAAATGAGAGTGGATTTTATGATGGACTGAAAGAGTTTCATATAAAGGACAATTTGCTGATGAAAGCAAAAGCAAAAAGATGCTCTGGCTCATTTTACAGTTTCTCTGGATTAAAAATGGCCCCATGTACTGCTCAAAGCGAACTTTTACACCAAGTGCAATTACCAAGAATAGGAAAAAGGTCTGTCTACCCTATGATTTTACACCACATGATTTCATACAAGGGCTCTGTTATATTTTTAAAAATCATCCAAATTCTAGGCAATTATCCAAAAAAGTATAAATATAGGGATCCTTATTACACCATAAAATTTAATTTTCCTAAATAGAAATGCATTTTAAGTTGTGGTATTTCTACAAATCTTAGTGAATCACTTCATATTATTCTGTCATTTACAGACAATAACTGTTAAAGGTGTTACAGACAATACGTATTACAGGCGGGTGGGTTTGTTTTACTCAAAGCGCCTAAAATTCAACTAGCCTTACTTTTTTTTTTTAAAGATTTTACTTTTCCTTTTTCTCCCCAAAGCCCCCTGGTACATAGTTGTGTATTTTTAGTTGTGGGTCCTTCTAGTTACGGCATGTGGGATGCCCCCTCAGTGTGGCCTGATGAGCAGCGCCATGACCACACCCAGGATTTAGAACAGGCGAAACCCTGGGCCGCCGAAACGGAGCGCGAGAACTTAACCAGTCGGCCACGGGGTCGGCCCCTATCCTTACTTCTTGATATTCCAAATTAGGGATAATATAAACATACACAAAAAGACTCCTGGCAGTTTCTGTTCAGAATAAGAAGAAGTGTCCACAGTAAATTGTTGCATAATCTAAGTCACACACATGGCGGGTGAACTGCCGGGGGGCCCAGATGATGGCGAAATATGGAACCATCTTAAAGGCAGACCACATGGATGGCAATGAGTCTGGATGTCAGGGAGCCTACCCTAGCATGGTCCCACCAGACACTACTCAAAGGCACCCAAAGTAGAGACACTGATCCTTTTAAAAGCAAGTGGGCAGAGAAGCAGAATACAGGTGGGGAAGGTAATGAAGCCATCCCAGCATCTTTACCTGCAGGAGAAGTTCTTGCAGCTGGGCCCGTTTCTGCTTTATCCGTTCTATCCGCCTCTGCTTCTCTATCTTTAAAACACAGGTTACAAAATAACATGAACATATGTAGAGCATAAAGTACTGCTTACTTTTCAGGTCCGAATTCTGAGATATCAGGAATTTTCCTTAGAAAAACTCAATCCATTTTAACTACCAACATGAGTAAAGCCAAATCACACCTTTGTGGGGCTGGGGGTTGGGGTAATAAGCAAGCAGGCAAGACAGTAGAATCGTGGCAACTGTTACCAGTAATGAAATTCACCCACTTAATAACTACTTGGTATGCAGCACCTGTCGCTACTTATTACTCAATTCTAATCAGAGTAAGAGCTAACACTCAGTGAATACTCACTCCACGTGCCAGCACTCAGCACTTTACACAGTGTCTTAACTTATCTGCACAAAACCTTACGAGGTCAGTACTGTTACCCATTTGGCACGTAAGGAAATGGAGACGTAAAGGGTTAAATAAACCACTGTCCAAGGTCACACAGCTAGTGAGTGGCAAGAGCCAGGACATGAACCGAAGCCATATGGTTCCAGAGACCCTATTATTTATTTATTTTTTTTTTAAAGGAAGATTAGCCCTGAGCTAACTGCTGCCAATCCTCCTCTTTTTGCTGAGGAAGACTGGCCCTGAGGTAATATCCTTCCTCTACTTTTTTTTTTAAAGATTTTATTTTTTCTTTTTCTCCCCAAAGCCCCCCTGGTACATAGTTGTGTTTTTTGTTGTTGTTGTGGGTCCTTCCAATTGTGGCATGTGGGACGCCGCCCTAGCGTGGCCCAATGAGCAGTGCCATGTCTGCGCCCAGGATTCGAACCGGCAAAACCCTGGGCTGCTTAAGCAGAACGCGCGAACCTAGCCACTCGGCCATGAGGCCGGCCCCCATCGTCCTCTACTTTTATACATGGAACACCTACCATTGCATGGCTTTTGCCAAGCAGTGCCATGTCCGCACCCGGGATCCCAACCAGCGACCCCAGGCCCCCGAGAAGCGGAACGTGCGAACTTAACCACTGCACCACCGGGCCGGCCCCCCAGAGACCCTATTATTAATTACTCTGTTGTATTACACCCCCTCCCACCCCTGCAAGAAAGAGGTAAGATCTCATTTAAGATCTCAATTTAACTGACTTTTACAAGGGCACAGCTGCTAATACAGATAGCCTACGTAGTCAGTACACAATTCACTTGCAGTAAGAAACATGCTTCTAGGACAAATTTCTCAGCTTCAAACAATTATTATTTTCCTCTTACAACTACCTAGGAAACAGATACTAGGATACGAATTTCCTTGTAGATGAGTTCCTTACTGTTTCTTTGGGCAAAAGTCAATGACATCAAATAAGACATTTTTCTTGTCTATTCCAACAGTATTTCTTTCTTTTTTTAGGAAGATCAGTCCTGAGCTAACTGCTGCCAATCCTCCTCTTTTTGCTGAGGAAGACTGGCCCTGAGCTAACATCTGTGCCCATCTTCCTCTGCTTTATATGTGGGACGCCTGCCACAGCATGGCTTGATGAGCAGCACCATGTCCGCACCCAGGATCCGAACCAGTGAACCCCAGGCCACCGAAGTGAAATGTGCAAACTTAACCGCTGTGCCACTGGGCTGGCTCCACCAACAGTATTTCTTACTTGCTCCCCAGCCACTCTAATCTGCACCAGGAGTTTCCTCTCATTGTTCCTTTAATCACTACCACACTTTAATCCTAAACTACTCAGGATTTACTGTAGAACCTGTGTGGCCTTCTACATTTGAAAAGACGTTGTAGGAGTTTCCCCTGCATCTGAAGCTGTGATGGCCAAGCCCTTCCTGCCCCTCATGCCCCACATCCAACCAAGTTGTACTGATCCCACCTCAGAACACTTCTCCAACTTCACTGCCAACTGCGTTAGCTCAGACCACCTTCAATCCACCTGCTCAACTTCCCTCCTCACCTTCCTGTCAGTTCAACTTCCCCCTCACTGGCAGAGTGATCCTTTAGAACACATCCTATCAGCTGTCTTCTTCCTAACTCTTCAACAGCTTCTCACTGTTTATAGGATCAGGTCCCAACTGCTGAGCACTTAGAAAACCACCTGGTGAACTTGTCCTCCTCCCTCACAGCTGAGCACAGGGATTTTTTTCTTGGTAAAGCCCTCCCTTCTCTCCCTTTCCAGAGAATCTGTACACGCTTCTTTCACAGGAACAATCACATTTTTGGTTACATCTTTTACATTTGTCCTCTCCTCAATTAAAATGAAAGCTCTTCAGGGTCAGACATTTTTGTCTGGTATAATCATTGGTTAAGTACATGGTAGATGCTAATAGATTTTTGCTTATTGAGTCTGTGTTACCAGCTTAATATTTCTGGCAACTAAATGATCCTCAGATTCCACTGTATCAGAAGGAAAGGAGGACACTTCCACTGTAGTACATGAGCAATGTTATTCCGTAACTTCTGATGAATGTCTGGTTTCTCCCTCCATCCACAAGTATAATAATACCAAATTAACTTTTGATTTGCTGGGGTGGGGGGAGAACTGAGAAAAACATGAACTCAACCATATTTATCTCTATAAGCTATATTTAACCTCAGTTTATTACATTTATGGCCATGACAGTAAAATTACGTCAAACCAATTAAGAAACAATGTCAGGGCACATGCTCATTTAGGAAAGGTTTTCTATAATGATTAAAGTAACAGAATAAAAAATGCACACATCATCCTAAAATTCACGTAAGCTGAACATTCTATCGATTTTGACAAAGACACAAATGAAATACCATTCTGTTGCCACTGATTCTAGAGTCAAAGGGAAAAGTTTAAATACAAGAAATAAACAGCCAGCTTTATCCATTTTCTGTGGGAAGGGATGCATCAGCAACCATTTCATCAAATAAGATATCATTTCTATTACATGAGTCACCAAAAATTTACTAGCAGAGTGCTCAAAATTAAATTAGAATAAAACAAAGATCTTCTCTAAGAGACAGTAAAAATCAAGTCATTTAATTTCTATGTCCCTTAGTTTCATCAGGACATCAACTAGACTACACCTGTCTAAAAGCTCCTTCCAGTTCCAAAAAAAGAAGGAAATAGTGTTTGTCATTCTTTTAACATATACCACTTTTAACATATTCTTTTAACAACTACCACTAATATATTCAATCTGAGTCCTGTGGTAGAGGGGAAAGATGGGAGACGGGAGTAAATATAAGCACATTAATTTCTTTTTTCTTCCATAATCCACAGATATTGATCTACAGGTGAAAACTCAAGAAACAAAATATTGAAGTTACTTAAAGTTGTAAAGATAACCAATTAACTGTAGAACTACAGACTACAAACCTTCCAAATTATCAGAAAAATAACAGCAGTTCATTGATCAAGTATATATGAATAATTAGGGATATTTTAATACTATGTGATCAAGTACACATGAACAATTACAGATATTTTAATACTATGTGACTGTATTTCTAAATTAAAATGCCTCTGATGTAAAATAAAGCAAATACTGTCTATAAACAGATTTTCCTCACTTACCTCCAGGTTTTGACATTCCTGAGCAGAATTCGTGGGCAGGCCAATCCACTTAATTTCCTTTTTTTCCTTTGAAATTATGTTCATTGCCATTAGCACATTTAAAGCATCATAAACTCTTCGCCTAATGTTCTTCTGGTCATAAGCCTGCTAAAAAAATATTTTTATTGAGTAATAAATTTTAAGGGTTAAGATATAGTCACAGGATATTAAGATATTTAATTAACAATATTATTATAATTTCTTCAAAGTGCTGAAAGAATTCTATATCCAGTGGAAGTATCCTTCAAAAGTAAAGATGAAATAAAGATACTTTCAAATAATCTAAAACATAAAACAATCTAAAAAATAAAAATTATGTTACCACCAGTTCTAAATTAAAAAATACTAACAGGCATTCTTCAGGTACAAGAAAGACGATCTAAGATGGGAGCTTGGAGATGTAGGATGGAATGAAGACCAACTGAAAAGGTAAATCTCAATACTGTTTAAAACAATAATGTCTGTGGAGTCTAGAATAGATAGAGAACTAGATACATGACAACAATAGCATATATATCAGAAAGGGGTAATGGAGTTAAAGTGGGCTAAGGCCTTGCATTGTTTGGGAGGATAACTTTAAAAAGTCAAGAATGCATGTTTTAAGCTGTAAATAAACAGTGCTTCTCAAAATGTGGTCCATGGACTAGCGCTAATCCGCAAACTGTTACTGGTCTACAGTGAAAACACGGCACTTGCACCAAACCTAAGCACATTAAACACGCTGTTTAGTTCAGCTGATTCTTTTTTGGTAGCAAGACTTTCTCAATGAAGGAAACTATGTTAACTTAGTTGTGGAAAAGCCCCTTATCTTATTGTGGATGAGCAGTTCCTAAGAACAAAATCCAGTCAGTCAAATGCCATGATAAGAAAGGATGGTGGAGAACATCGAATCCATTTAAATATAGAACTAAACTTAAATAAATGGGAAATTTAAGTTATAGAACTGAATATAAATATTAGAAATCCTGACACTGCAGAAATAATGATAATGTAACAACAAATATCAGGAGGAGGCAACAGAGTAGGTCTGCAGACTTCCTCCTCTTGGATATTGGAAGGAGTATGGATTCAAAGCAGATGAACTACGTAATAGTAGAGCTTTGGACATAATATTTATTTATTTGTTTATTTATTTATTTGAGGAAGATTAGCCCTGAGCTAACTACTGCCAATCCTCCTCTTTTTTGCTGAAGAAGCCTGGCCCTGAGCTAACATCCCTGCCCATCTTCCTCCACTTTATATGTGGGACGCCTGCCACAGCATGGCGTGCCAAGTGGTGCCGTGTCCGCACCCGGGATCCGAACTGGCGAACCCTGGGCCGCTGAGAAGCAAAACATGCTCAATTAACCGCTGCGCCATCAGGCCGGCCCCTATATATTTATTTAAAGTCATAAAACAACTATAAAAATATTATTCTTTTAACAACTACCACTAATATATTCAATCTGAGTCCTGTGGTAGAGGGGAAAGATGGAAGAAAGGAGTAAATATAAACATATTAATTTCTTTTTTCCTCCATAATCAACAGATACAGGTCTACAGGTGAAAACTCAAGAAACAAAATATTGAAGTTACTTAAAGTTATAAAGATAACCAATTAACTGTCGAACTACAGACTACAAACCTTCCAAATTATCAGAAAAATAACAGCAGTGAACAAAGAGAACAAAATCCAACCCTTGCTTATATCCAGCGGTGAGGATGGGGGTGATTAGTAAAAATGTATGCTAGATGTTGAAAAGTGCTAAGAATGGCCTCATTATAGTGAGGTCTGAGTGAAAATTAGATGGAGTAGAGAGAGAAACCAAGAGTATTCCAGGCAAAGGAAACAGCAAGTGCAAGGGCCTGGTAAGCAGTCTGTCTGGCATGTTCACAGTGTGTGGCTGGAGTGTAGTAACTGAGGGAGTGCAGGGTGGGAGATAAGACCAGAGAGGCAGTGGTGGGCCAAGTCACAGGGGTTCTTGTAGATCGTTTTGAGAACTCTGACTTCCACTGAGAACCAGAATACCATATACTTTCAAGTGCCCAGAGAATGTTAAAAGAAAAAATAAATCACCATATAATGGCTCACAAGAAAAATCTCAAAGCAATCCAAAAAAATAGAAATAATTAGACCCTCAATCTCTGATCATAGGTGATAAAAGTAAAAATCCATAACAACAAACAAAAATCCCTATCAACTGGAACTATAAGAACTCTTTCTAATGCAATTCTTAGGTAAAAGAGGAAATTATAACCAAATTTACAGAATATCTATAGAATAACATGATATCAGAACCAGGGGATACCACTAAAGCAGCACATAAGAGGAAAAGTCACAGCCATAAAGATTGTCATTCCAAATAAAAATAACAAAAATAAATAACGTACACATCATGGCCTATGGGGTAGAAAAATAACTAAAGCAACTTCAGGAAAGAGAATATTAACTACAGATAAAAACAGAAATTAACTGCAAAACAGGAGGTCACTACAAACACTCCAAGAGATGGTTCTTTGGGAAAAATAATTGCAAATAATTTTGAGAACATGGATGAAATGGAGTATTTTCTAAGAAAACATAAAATGCCAAACTGACTCTAAGGCAGACAGAAATCCAGAGCTGACTAGTTACCAAAGAGGAAACGGAGAAAGCACTCTAAGCGCTCCCCGCACCGAGTCACCAAACCACCTGCGGGTTCTACAAAATTTCAGGACAGAAACAGACTCCAACGCTCTTAAACCTGGACGGGAACAAAGAGAAAGAGAGAAAGAAAGCCTCTAAATTCATTTCATGAAGCCAGCACAATGCTACAAATCAAATCTGTGAAGATGGCCAAAAAAACCCCAAAAAACAAAAACGCTACCAATCTCATTTATGACTATCAGTGTAAAAATCTTACGTTTTCAGGAAACTATCGAGAATTTGATTAAATTAAACATCCATTTCGGATTTTTTTAATTAAGAAAAAAGAAATACTCATTAAAAAACAATCAAGTTATGCAAAGAGAAAGAGAACTCAAGAATACAATCCCATTTACAATTGCAACAAAAAGAATGAAATGTTTAGGAATAAATATAACCAAGGAGGTGAAAGACCTATAGAATGAAAACTGTAAGACATTACTCAAAGAAATCAAGAACGACATAAAGAAATGGAAAGATATTCCAGGTACATGGATTGGAAGAATAAACACAGTTAATACGTCCATACTACCTAAAGCAATCTACAGATTCAACGCAATCCCAATCAGAATCCCAATGATATTCTTCACAGAAATAGAACAAAGAATCCTAAAATTCATATGGGGCAACAAAAGACCCTGAATAGCTAAAGCAATCCTGAGAAAAAAGAACAAAGGTGGAGGCATCACAATCATGACTTCAAAATATACTACAAAGCTATTGTAACCAAAACAGCATGGTACTGATACAAAAACAGACACACGGATCAATGGAAAAGAACTGAAAGCTCAGAAATAAAACCACACATTTATAGACAGCAAATCTTCAACAAAGGAGCCAAGAACATACAATGGAGAAAGAAAAGTCTCTTTAATAGACGGTGTTGGGAAAACTGGACAGCCACTTGCAAAAGAATGAAAGTAGACTGTTATCATTTGCCATACACAAAAATTAACTCACAACAGATCAAAGACTTGAAGGTAAGATGTGAAACCATAAAACTAGAAGAAAATATAGGCAGTACACTCTTTGACATTGGTCTTAGAAGCATCTTTTTGAGTACCATGTCTACTCAGGAAAGGGAAACAAAAGAAAAAATAAACAAATGGGACTTCATCAGACTAAAGTGCTTCTGTAAGGCAAAGGAAACCAGGAACAAAACAAAAAGACAATGCATCAACTGGGAGAAAATATTTGCAAATCATGTATCTAACAAGGATTAATCTCCAAAATATACAAAGAACTCACAGAACTCAATAACCAAAAAACAAACAACCCGATCAAAAAACAGGGAGAGGATATGAACAGACATTTTTCCAAAGAAGATATACAGATGGCCAATAAGCACATGAAAACATGTTCAACATCACTAATCATCAAGGAAATGCAAATCAAAACTACACTGAGATATCACCTTACACCCATTAGAATGGCTATAATCATCAGGACAAAAAATAAATATTGGAGAGGATGTAGAGAAAAGGGAACCCTAATACACTGCTGGTAGGAATGCAAACTGGTGCAGCCACTATGGAAAACAGTATGGACATTTCTCAAAAAATTAAAAATAGAAATGCCATAGACCCAGCTATCCCACTACTGGGTATTTATCCAAAGAATTTGAAATCAACAATTCAAAGAGACTTACGCAGCCCTATGTTCACTGCAGCATTTTTCACAATAGCCAAGATGTGGAAGCAACCCAAGTGCCCATCGACTGATGAACGGATAAAGATGATGTGGTATATGTATACAATGAAATACTACTCAGCCATAAAAGAGACAAAATCGTGCCATTTGCAACAACATGGATGGACCTTGAGAGTATTATGTTAAGCAAAATAAGCCAGACAGAGAAAGACAAACACCACATGATTTCGCTCATACATGGAAGATAAACACATGGACAAAGACAACAGATCAGTGGTTACCAGAGGGGAAGGGGGATTAGGAGAGGGCATAAGGGGTAAAGAGGCACATATATATGGTGACTGACAAATAATAATGTACAACTGAAATTTCATAATGTTATAAACTATTCTGACCTCAATAAAATTTTTTTAAAAATCAAGTTATGGTTGCTATCATCTCAAAATAAAACCTTTATCATAATTAAGGTTGAAATACTATAAATATTTCCAGTAAGGTCAAGAATTAATGACTCAATATGACTAGAGTTACTATTATTATTTAATATTGTTGTGGAGTACGTATAGTATGATTACATTTAAATAACACGGAAACTGATGTATAATGATAAAAAAAACAAATCAGCAGTTGCCTGGCAATAGAGGGAGAGAAAGGGATAGATTACAAAAGGCAGGAAGAGCTGTTTGGGAATGATGGAAATGTTCTGAATCTTGATTATGGTGTTGGATCCACAGGTGCACATAACTATCAAAACTCATCAAATTTTATACTTGAAATGAATACATCATATTTTATGTAAACTATTCAACAATAAAGAAACAATAATTTAATAATTTAATTGTACACTTAAGACACATGTTTCCTTCCCTATATGCAATTTTATCTCTACAAAAAAAGACGATTTATATATGCTAAAAAAGAGGGGCCAGCCCAGTGGCGCAGCGGTTAAGTTCGCACGTTCCACTTTGGCAGCCTGCGGTTTGCCAGTTTGGATCCCGGGTGCAGACATGGCACGACTTGGCAAGCCATGCCATGGAAGGCCTCCCACATAAAATAGAGGAAGATGGGCAGGGATGTTAGCTCAGGGCCAGTCTTCCTCAGAAAAAGGAGGATTGGTGGCAGATGTTAGCTCAGGGCTAACCTTCCGCAAAAAAAAAAAAAAAAAGAATCTCCAAGATACTTTAAGAAAATAAAATTAAGAACACAGCATGCAAAGCAAAATCACATTTGAGCTTAAAATAAAAAAGCAAATAAATTTTATTGTGTGTATGCATAAAGAATTTCTGGAATGATACTCAAGAATCTGATAATAGTGGATATGGCCTTTGGGGAGGTAGATTAGGGTCTGCATAGAAGGGAGATAGTTTAAATACATACTCTTTGATACAAGTGAATTTTTTATAAACATATTCATGTATTATCTTTTTAATTAAAAACAAAATAAAATTCTCTTAGACTTAGACATAGAAGGAACATTAAAAGATTCAGAAATGTATCCAAAGTCATGCAAACATAAAAAGTATGTTAAAAAAAGTATGTTCTTTCAATAGCCCCCAAAATTATATTTTTAAAATACCTGTTCATCTTTATGTTTAAATAAATAATAAAAGAATCCTTTCCAAAACAAAACAAAAAATCAACAACAAAATTCTCCAGCAGACAATCTGAAACTCTCAAGTAAAGGAGAAGCTGGGCATTCCCTAGTACGTCTGAGTCCTGAGACTGACGACAGAGAACTTAAAGGGCCACACTGCTGCATCACTCACGCTAGTCCACGCCCAGCGCGTGATCCACCTACCGAATCAGCTGCCAAATGGTTATTCGAATTGGTGAACTCCGATACCAGCTCATCAGCTACTTCATTATATGACGTTGTACCTTTCCGCTGAACTTTCTCACACACTTTCATTGAAAAATGTCTCAAGCCTTTTCCATTTTTATCTCCTTTCTTGCTTCTTTTACTAAAAGAGAAAAAAAATATTTATACTCTATTATACTTATTAGAGATTTCCTTTACAAAACTATAAAATAACATCAGAAGAAAGTAATTTGATTTGCTTCAAGTGGTAAATTTTAAGTTGAATTAGAGATGAGGAAAGGTTTTGAATTTAATTTTTGCCTTAAAAGCTAGAGTGCTTTTCTATGCACATCATTCATTTATTCAACATTTATTCAAATATTTACTGACCAGAAACTTACTGTTATGTGCCAGGCACTGTTCTAACACTGGGAACAAATTTGTGAGAAGAACAGACAAAAACTCTGCCTTTGCAGACTTAACATATCGGTCAATACTTATCTTTTTCTATTCTATGTTTGCTACAGTTCTTTTTCACCTAAAATTAAAGTACCACTACTCTCAGTTTCATTTATTCACTCAATTTCTAAATGGAGGCCAGTGGTATTAATAATGGATCTAAGTCTTCTAATTGAAGTTTTAAGTTTGGTTAATGCCTAGGCCTAAACTTTGACAACTTAATCATTAAAATTTTCAGGGGTTCAGTTTAGTTCTAATATCTGAGTGCCAACTATACACCAAAAACTCTATTAGAAACTGGAAGTACAAAACATTAACTGAGGCAAAATCCTTTCCCTCAATATGAGTCTTGGAGAATGGGAGAGAGACAAAACAGACATACAATGACAGATATTATATTCCAATATAATATAATTCCAATATAATAAAGTGAGTGCCAAGTCGAAGTTATTGAGAGTCTTCTACGGGAACTGGGAAGAGAGGCATCCAGTCTAACCTAGGGAGGAAGACCTGCTGGAGGAAGAGTCAAGTGAAAACACTCAACAAAATGAAAAGGCAACTTAAGGTACCGGAAAGAATACCCGGAAACCCTTTATCTGGTAAAGGGTTAATATCCAAAATATCCAAGAAACTCCTACAACTCAATGGCAATAATAATAATAATAATAACCCAATTAAAAAATAGGTAAAGGACATGAATAGACATTTCTCCAAAGAAAACATACAAATGGCCAATAAGTATGTGAAAAGATGGTCAACATTACCAATCATCAGGGAAATGCAAATCAAAACCACAAGGAGGTTTCACCCCACATCTGTTAGGATGACTATTATTAAAAACAAGAGATAGCAAGTGTTGGTGAGGATGTAGAGAAATTAGAACCCTTTGTACACTGTTGGTGGGAACGTAAAATGACGCAGCAAGTATGGAAAAAAGTATGGAGGCTCCTCAAAAAATTAAAAATAGAACTACAATATAGCCCAGCAACCCCATTTCTAGGTATATATCCAAAAGAACTGACATCAGGATCTCAAAGAGCTATCTGCACTCCTACGGTCATCGCAGCATTATTCACAATATTCAAGATATGGAAATGACCTAAATATCCACAGGTGGATGAATGGATAAAGAAAATGTGGTATCATCCATACAATGGAATATCATTTAGCCTTAAAAAAGAATGAAATCCTGCCATATGTGACAACATGGATGACCCTGGAGGACATTATGCTAAGTTAAATAAGCCAGAAGGACAAACAATGCATGATTCTACTTAGATGAGGTATCTAAAATAGTCAAACTCATAGAAGCAGAGAGCAGAATGGTGCTTGCCAGGGGCTAGGGGGAAAGGGGAATTGGGGAGTTGTTGTTCAACAGGTATGAAGTTTCAGTTATGCAAGATGAGTAAGTTCTAGAGTTCTGGTGTACAATATTGTGCTTATAGTTAAGAATAATGTACACTTGAAAATTTGTTGAGAGGGCCAGCCCGGTGGTGCAGCGGTTAAGTGCACACGTTCTGCTTCGGTGGCCTGGGGTTCACTGGTTCGGATCCCAGGTGCGGACATGGCCCACTTGGCAAGCCAGGCTGTGGTAGGTGTCCCACATATAAAGCAGAGGAACATGGGCACAGATGTTAGCTCAGGGCCAGTCTTCCTCAGCAAAAAGGAGGAGGATTGGCAGCAGATGTTAGCTCAGGGCTAATCTTCCACAAAAAAAAAAAAAAAAATTTTGTTGAGGGTAGATCTCATGTTAAGTGTTCTTACCACCATCACCAAAACAACAAAAAAAGAGAGTTAGTCAAGTGAAGGGAGTTAGGAAGGGCATCCAGGCAGGAGAAGCAGCAGCAGCAGGAAACACACGGAAGAGTAAAAAAGATGATAAATGTTGAGAGAGTTATAAACAAACAGTGCAATATCACCAGAATATAAAGTGAAGGCAAAAGATGAGGCAGAAAGGTAGACAAGGGACCAGGCCTCAGAAGCCATGCAGAGGAACCTGGACTTTACCATATCCCATCAATACAATAATAGTCATTTATAAGTTATTTACATGTTTTACTGTGAACTGTTCAATACACTACTAGTGAAATACTGTGACACTACTAAATGGCATTGAGTGGGGGAGTGGCATGGTGAGATTTTCAGTTAGGCAGAGATTCTGGCTGCAAAACAGAAGACGGATTTACAAGGGGGCAAAAGCAGAGACGGGAAGACCAGTTGAGAGGCTACTGTAATAGTCCAGGCAAGAAACGACGCGTCTTGAAATTTGGGCAATTGGTAGGGCTGGATAAGAAGAGATGGATTTGCAAAAATTTTAAAGATAAAAATGAGTAGAATCAAGTGCTTAACTGACGTGAATGGTAAAGAAGAGGGAACTAGGAGAACGACTCTCAGAAAGAGGGGCCATTTACTCAGATCAAGGAGACAGGAACAAGTTCATGTGTTCCACTTTAAACCTCCTCTTCTGCACTGCCCAACACCCTAGGCAGAACCCACACATACCTACTGAGCACTCGAAATGTGGGAAGTCTGAAGTGAGTATGCTGCAAGTGTAAAATATGCACTGAATTTCAAAGATTTGTATGAGAAATGAATGCAAAATATCTCATGAGTAAGTTTCATATTAACTACATGCTGAAATATACTTTAGATATATTAGATGAAATAAAAGATATTAGAAAAATGAATTTTACATGTTTCTTTTTATTTTTTAAATTGGCTATTAGAAAATTAAAAATTACATGTGGCTTGCATTACATTTCAGTGGCAATGATATTGAGTTTGATGTACCTATAGAACATCCATATGGATATTTTCAATAAACAGTTGAATATCTAAGTCTACACCTTAACGGAGAAGTCACAAACTTCTCGGCATGTGTACCCATGCCAACCTTCTTCCTACCAGTCTCAGGGGATTAGGTATCCCCCCTTCCTTTTCAAGTCCAATTTCCTTTTTTTAAGAAAACAGCGTTATTGAATGAAATACAATTCACATACCATATACCTCATTCTTTTAAGTATACAATTCAGTGGTTTTTAAGAGTTCTGCACTCATCGCCACAATCTAATTTCCTCACCCTGCACAGAAACCCTGTAACCATTAGCAGTCACTCCACATTCCCCTACCCCCAGCTCCTGGCAACCACTATTCCATCTTCTGTTTCTATGGATTTGCTTATTCCTCAAAGCCAACTTTTCAACTTGAGTTTTTTACTCCGATGCTTCTGTTTCTGTATTGTGTGCTCTCCTTGAGCTGTCCCATACAGTGGGTTTTTTTGTTTGATTGTTTTTTAAATATACAACCTAGCATGAAAACTGAATCTGATCAAGACTCCAGACCCAACTACCAGTTCAAAGGAAAACCTGAGGACAGAAGAACATATCAAGTGACACTACCGGGATGCAATAAGCAAAAGCTCTAGGATTTCTCTTCAGGACACAGAATGTGGTTTCTTCAACTAACAAACTGTAAGGGAAAAATGGAGGAAGGGAAGAAGAAAGGGATAGATATTGAAGGGGAATCTACAGATTGTAAGAGACATATCAATTTATTTAAATCCTGATTCAAACAGACTGTATACGCATGCACACACACACACACGCATATACCCAATAGTTATGGGGGAGTCTGGGAATACAGCAAGAGCAGCATAGATTCCAAACTCTCCAAATCCCCACATAAAACCAGATAGAGCAAACAGAGCAAAACCAAAACTCCTTGACAACATTTCCAAGACTGGATGACAAGGTATCCTCCACAAACCCCAGAATACAAACTACCAACAGCCAAAAGGCCTCACAGTAATGCCTTTGTGGGCAGAACAAGAAATACTCAGTGGGGCTGCATCTAATGGAACTCAGAACAGGATAATCCCAAAACAGCCAAAAAGAATTTACTGGAAAGTACAACTGGCCAATTCAAGAGCAGGAGTTGAAACAGAAGGAGTCTTGACCTCTTCAGTACCAGCTGAGGGCAAGACGCCCACAATAAGACTAAAAGCTCGCAATAATCAAGTCTGTGTGATTCCCACAACTGATACTCAAAAGAAAAGGACAAATATTGGAGGTAGGCACAGAATATTCAGAAACAAGAGTATCTTCAGAAGAAAATGAAAGCAAAGGAACAGAATACTAAATGCTATATAATTCAAGAAAATGTTCATGAAATAAAAGAAAAAAGAGACTATCAACCGAGAATGACAAATACCAAAACATTCTATTAAAATTACTGAATTCCAAAGAAAAAGAATCCTTTAGGCAGCTAGGAGGAAAGAGTACCAGATTTTTCAACAGCAAGGTGTTATGCTAAAAACAAATATATTTAAGAAACTGAAAGAAAGCATGAGCCAAAGATTTTTGCCTCCAGCAAAACTGACTTAATTCAAATATAAAAGGCACAAACTCAGGGATTACTATACCCATGAGCTCTTCCTGAAGAAACCACTAGAGAACAAGCTTCAGACAATCAAAATGACTAGAGATACACTGACATAAGGCCTGGGGAGTATTAAACATATAGTTACCTGTAGACAGAAGACTAAATGAAGGCTAAGAGAAAGACAGTATAGTATATAAATGGGTATGTACTCCAACACTGTGGATAAAGCATGACTATTAAAAAAATGGGCAGAGAATGGAGAGAGCATATGCAAAAATTTTTTTAAATGTTTTCAGTAATCACATTAATGGTAATATTAGCATT